ATAACTCCAAAGGTCTAGTATTTAAATTCCTGCATGTGGTTGAAAGATGCATTTAATGTAAATGTACATTTTGTCAGCTTTACTTCTCCTTTCATATTGAATTTTAATGAGAGTAATATATATCATTTAATTTGGGTTTTTTGGGGGTTTTTTTAATGTATACCTGCATGTGTTTTTACGGTCCTGTACAGCCAAGGAAAATTTCCCACTGGGATAATAAATTACTATCTTATCTTATCTTATCTTTACGAACCTGATATTCCTTTCAGTACTTGATATTTGGTGTTTTCCACAAAACAATTGAGGGCCCAGCTGTTTTAATTCAGGGTTTATAATATAGTGTAAAGCGCTTAGAGCCTGCTGTTGAGCGGGGATATGCGCTATACAAATGCTATCTATTATTATTATTATTATTATTATATGCATAGCCACATTATCATTAAAAATATTAGTACCATGAAATTTGCAAACTGAGTGTCTGCAAAGTTGCTCTACTCTATATAACTGTCAATTTTCAATAGGTTTGATTTACAATTGTTGGAATTATTTATGAAATATAGACATTTTCCTTTGCAGTCACCCTGTATAAACACTAAATAAACGCACACATGAAAAGGTTACAATACACAAACACATACAGCAAGTGCACACAATCATGAATACACACAGATGAACACATTATGATACGCACAATATTTTAACTATTTCCTCTTGGTCATTCCACAAGCACAAAAGTAATATTTTTTAAGTTTTGAGAAAGAAAAAAAAAAGGAGCAGCCAAATCAGAACCGTGACTTGAGCATTCATTAATTTTCAGTTTCAAAACTAGGAAGGAAATACCAAAGCATAACATAATTACATTGTAAGATGCACCCTGATGTCTTTACTAGGATTATAACAACTTTATCTAAAAGCTCCCAGAAACTGATTTGTGTGGAATGACACTAACATTCTATCAATTATATTTAAAGCACAAAAGTCACCCAACAGCACAACTACAAATCTGCGTGAGTACTTAACATACTGATGCTTTCGGTATTGCTGAGTGATCCTTGGTCATGAAAATAAATTTAAATAATCCGCCCATACGCGGGTTCCTCCAGGTTTTCCATGGGTTCATGTAGCGACCATTAGAAAAGCAGGCTTCTGTGAATTCTGTCTCTGTCTCATGACTCAATTCCTCCATGACTTTTCTGAAATTAAATATATACACATACATATATCTAAAATATATTATAATATATATATATATATATATATATATATATATATATATATATATATATATATATATATTATATTGCATTAATAAAAAGCAATATTGTGCATGCAAAATGTAAATGTTTTATTAGTTCTTATTAAGGGGAGGGTCAATCAATGCTAAGAGAAATGATCATTAGCCTACACCAATCCATAAAATAAACAGAACAATTTTATTTTTCAAAGCTGACTGCAGAGCTCTGGCTGGAAAGCAAGAAATATTTTACATTTTAAAGTAAATACAACAAAACCTTGGCTCTAAATAATATCATGTAAAGTGAGACACGGTTGTGTCCTATTACCATTTTTATTCATCGTCTAAACCAATGCAGAACCAGAGGCCTTGAGTGAATTACATGATTATTTTTTGCTGATCATGATCAAAGTCTGCCACACAAAGATGAACAAAACCTTCAGCACCTCACACCACCAATAATATGAAATGCAGAAAATATGACAATCAAAAAGATATCTGGACTAGCCAAACAGAAACAATGAAAGTAAGCTAAAATCCAAAAAAAATCCAAGGCCCCTCGACTATAGGCCTACTCATCAACATAATAACAGGCTCAAAAAGCTCCAAGAATCCAAGTGTACCAGTATAATCACAAAGAATGGACAACTAAATGAGTAAAGACATGGTGGAATCAGGCGTTTGTCAGTTTTTGAGCATTTGAGATATAATCGGTATCATTTTTAAGCCTGTTCATTTCCCTTCCTTTTGACTAAAAAAAATTCCATCTATGTTGAATGGAAGTTGAAATATTTGCGAGTGAAGGGTAGCCTAGTATCAGAGGTAAAATTAGCAAGAAAATGTCCGCCAAAGTTTGTTAACTTCCATAGCCCCGAGAGTCCTTGGAAACTAAAAATTAACATTTTTTGTGCCTTTAATGAAAGTTTTTCAGTAAAAATTCCCATGGAAATGTGTTATTATATAGAAAAGGTGTTGAGCGGAAAAACAAAAGTTCGATAAAAATTGCCAAACTGGCGGGAAAATGCCTTTTTCTTCAATTTCACTATTTTGACTAGCGCCTGATTTCACAACGATGCCTCACAAATAGAGAAATAGAAACAAGAACTGAAAGCAAATTATTAATGGCAGTGATCAGAATTGTTCCATACTGAAACATAATGTTCCTATTAAGACAAAGCCATTAAAATGATCAACACTAACTTCATCCCATCACTTACCAATTATGAACGCCAAACATGAAATATGAAGGAAGACATTTGAGCAAAGAATAACAACTTGTTTTATAAAATGTAGCTGTTTAAAATGCTCCCACTGACACAATTTAATTAAGGAGGCGGGTTACCAGACCTGCCTGTCAGGGCCACACGCGAGCTGAGAGGGATACAATCAATTATCCTAGTAGACAGACAGAGGTATGACATTTTCTTCTGTAGGCGGCAGTAGGCCTTAGTACATCATGTTGAATTAAAATTAATTTGAGATACTTTTGACACACACGCTTTTGTTCTAAATCTTTTGAAAATCTTAGTTTTAATAAGATTTCGAGTTTTAAAGCACCACAACTCAGATTAGCCATGATAAAAGTGCCGAACATTAGAAATGTATTAAAATCAGAAACTAGATAAATGCAAAGTAGTAGGAGGAGCGTGAGATAATTATAGGCCTACAGCAATAGTTTTATCTAGTCTATACATTTGGCAACTTGGAAACAAATTTGTCACTTTTCCCATAAAACTACGACAGCCACAGAGTTGAAAGTTGGCAAGTACCTGCAAAAAGAAGGGGTCCCCATGACGGAGCCCGATTTTTTTTTTATTTATAAGGAATTCGTATTTATAATTCCCTGAAAATTATATTTTTGACAAAAAATTCCCGTCCTTCTTTCGCCTTTGTGATTATTCCACTGAGAAACAGAACAAATCTGCGTAGCTGTCCTCCACAGCGGAAGTGCCGGAAGTGATATTTCTTGAGGTGCATTTTGTTTTGAGTATAGATCTAGATCTAGATCTAGACCTTTTAATTTTTAGCATCGCTCAAGATCTATTGCTCCATTCCAGTAGAGTATAGTAGGCCAATGACTTTCAGTTGATGCTAATGCACCCATCATTCCTTTCATCGAAAGGAGGCCCAGCTAGTTATATAATATAGATATACACTATAATAGTGTTTGAAAAAAAAGGGAGCAAACCACAGATCGCTCGCCAACTACCCATTTTGAAAATTTATATAAAGGCCTATCTATGTCATTTTGCTGTGTCGCTTTTAGCTGGCCACTTTTAGTCCCACATGATGCTACACTTTCCCCCCATTTGCTCACATTCATGGTGCCCTGTTCTGAAAGTGAAAATATGCGTATCCAGCTGAAAACTTTTTCACTATCACAAGATGAAATAAAACTAGATCTAGATCTAGATCAGAAGTCTAGAATCCTCAGCCAAAGTTTATTATAATCGAAAATTAGATCTAGATCTAGATCTAAATCTAGATCTAGATCTAGATGTAATCTAGAATCTAGATCTAGACTAGATCTAGATCTAGTATACGTTTACAACTGTAACAAAACTGCGTGTATGCCTGCTGTGGCTTTGCATTATTTGCATTACTTGTTATAGTCATTACAATCTCTGAAAACAGTGAAGGACTTCCCTAACGAGCGACCACCCCAATAATTTAAAACACAATAAAGAAGAGACCTAGAAGTAGAAGCCTAACCCAAACCCTACCCCAACCCCTTCTTGTGACCCTAGCTCTCTGTTCTAGTCTCAGTGATGACTCGTCTGTCTCATAGATAGATCTAGATCTAAATCTAGACTAGAATCTAGATTTAGATCTAGATCTAGTGGTCACTCATTACGAAAGTCCTCCTCCCGAAAATATTACCTGCAGGCTGTACACCTATTCAACACACTTTTGAAATAAAGCCCCCGAGAGCGTGGACTGACAACCATCTAAAAACTTACGAGGATTGTTTGAGAGCCCTGTTTATCAACCCCCCAAGGGTTTTGTGGTGATCTTATACCTTAGCACGTTAAATTCCCAAAGTCAGACCTTCAAAACTTTGAACTGGGCCTAAAAATGTGCAAACTACCGTAATTTTGTCATTCGAAAACCATGAATGATGACTTGCACTCTGCTTTAGCCACGCCCATCTCCAGTTCGTCAGTAGATCTAGATCTAGATCTAGATCTAGATCTAGATATAGATCTAATCTAGATCTAGATCTATCTATAAATATTTTGGCATCTGAGATCTGTGCAATAAAAGTAGACATGTCGTCACAATTTTGTAGTACCGACACTGATTCTACAAGATGAGGGATGCGGTTACATTAACCGCACCTGTCGAATCTAGATGACTGAACAGAACATACATCTGAGTAGATCTAGAAGAAAAGGAAATTATAGACGTAGAACTACCTCCATCTACAAGCACAAGCAAGTGTACCAAGGTCTCTTTCGGCCAAGCCAAGTGCCGAGTTTGTTTACTTCAGGTTACGTCTGGGGAATGAAAAAAAGTTAAAGCCAGCCAAATGGCACTGTAAAACAGCTAAATTGAAATTTCCGAGATATAGATCTAGATCTATATATATATTATACATATTATTATTATTATTATTATTATTA